TTTGCAGCAGCTGTGCTGTCACATGTATTCATTTTTTCTTGTAATAGAGTTTCTGATTTTTTTTAATGATATAAAAAGAAACTTTACATTTGTCAGTCAGTTAACTAATAAATGAGAAGCGAAAACACCGAAAAAAAAATATACGTAGAACAGAAAAAGATTGATAGCCATGTTCTGTCTATTGTAGATAAAAAAAAAAAAAACAAGCCAGAAGAGTCATCGTTTTCTTTTTCTCTTGCTCTAATCATATGATAGTATAATTAATAGGCCTTCAGCTTCTTCATATTAAAGACGAACGTCAAAAATGTGTAACAAAAGTATTGCCATATAGATAGAATAAAAAAAATATTTAGCATTCTATATCAGTCTTGCCATATTAAACATTAGAATAGGAAGATACCCGGGGAAACAGTAACCTCTTATTGTATCCGCTGTTTTTTTTATAGGAAGCAATTAAACCCTATTGCGTTGTTAGTACGCGGCCTATGAATAGACTCATATGGAATGAAAATATGACATAAAATAGATATAGTTTTGTTGTAAACAAGAAGATTTTAGTACTTTGCCAATGTCTACATGAAAAGATATCTATTGTTATTTATTACAAAGTGAAGAACTAGTCTCGTTTAGAACTTCTACATTATAATGGATAAAAATGTCTATAAACAAAGGAATTGGCATGATTTTTCTTGTTAAAATCTCACATAAGTTTCTATAAAATATAAAAGATTTCCAAATCCAGATCGAATTTTTTTTATTGAATAGTTCAGTTCAGCTTGAATCATAGAATATGGAAATATATATGCTATAGAATAGATCATTATATCGAAACCTATAAGAACGTTTAATTATTGTGATCAACCATCCATACGTAAATAAATCAAAGATTCTGCATTTTCTTTAACAGTAATATTCAACAAGTCTTGGTATGACCCGTCAAGAAATCGATGCTTTCAGCTTATAAGGTAATCTTTTCAAATAAGAAAAAGCGTTTGAGACGATAGTTATATGATTAGGGTCAAGTCGGTTGAGTCTGGGCAATACATATTATAATTTGTGTCCTAATTGCTTATGTTGGATTATAGCAGTTTTAGTGAATCTCTAGTATAGTGTAGAATATGTCACCAAAAAAATCGAATTTTATTATTTCAACCTGAAATTTAGTCGATAAAAAGTTTTTTTTATAGATCCTATCACATACAAATTCATGTTTTCTTCCTGAGATAATAGTTATGATATATCAAAAAGTACACAACATAGATTCTAGCTATAATATTCGGTGTATGATAAGGCTCATATAACTTCTTTACAGATTAAATTTCATGTCGAAATGATCACATTAGAACTTTTTTTATACAATATCAACAATTAATTATTATGGTCATAATTTGAAAAGAAAGTAATTAGGACACGAATCATTATGGGGTTTGTTTCTTAGTCTCATTAGACTTGATCTGCTGACACAAATTTTGTTTGAACAGCTTGTTATTACTTGAGTTTTTTCCGTTAGTTTAAATGATAGTAAAAATTCTAATAAAAAATTAATTAAATTAAAAGATAATATTTCAAAATTTGTTTTAGATTATTTATATTTAATAAATGCATAATAACGAACAAATCTTATTCATATCTGATCAAACTGATCCTATTAAAAGGAATAAATTATTTTCGCAATGTAAAGTTTGTGAAACTGATGGTGCACAGGTTCATTATGGTGGATTATGTTGTATATCATGTAAAATGTTTTTTCGTCGAAATGCAAGTTTTGATCTAGTTGGTGAATTTATTGTTTCTCTTAAATTCATTTATTTATTATTATTTTCCTTTTTTTCCTTTAGGATGCACATCAGTGTGTATTTAGAGAGATATGCGATATAACAATAAATAGTCGACGAGCATGTCGTTATTGTCGTTTGCAAAAGTGTTTAGCAATTGGAATGCAACGAGAATTATTACGTGCATCACATCATCGTCGAGCAAAATCAGTTGAACAAATTGTTTCTTCATCAAATACGATATGTACACTTGATTTACTTCGTAATGATCGTTCATTATTAACTGATGAACAAAGATGTTGTCTGTCAAATGTAATTCATGTTTATGACACAAAATCTCCTGTTAGTCATATACGTTATTTATTATCAACACAATCAAGACATCCAATGAAAATGCGTTTAAAAATGGCTAAAACAAGTATTTTAGAAATAATTATATCAATGTATCAAGGTATACTTCCATTTGTTGAAGCATTACCTGAATTTCATATAATGAAACGTTATGATCAATGTGAATTAATTGAAAGAAATCTTCCATATGTTGGTGGTTTTAATGGAATTATTGTATTTCGTGATGCTGAAGTTCCAATTAGTACAGCATTTAAAAATGGTTTTCCTTCAATTTATGGATCAACAATTGTAGATGATGCTGTAACTATTGCCAGACGAACTGATGATGATCTTACATTAATCAAATTGTTGATACCGATTTTATTATTTTCAACATCATGTTATATTAAAATTCCAAGTAATGTAAATAATAATTGTAAGAATAAAATATTTATTTTTTTCATTGATATTATTTTATTAGACAATAGTTTTCATGTAATTGTAACTTCTTGAATTTATATTTTGACCATGAATAGAATTCAATATAATCAAACGAGATCTTAAAGTCTTTGTATGTTCATATACAGTGCCTCTTGACCTAGATAATCGAGTTATTTTTAAATATAATAGTAGTGCTATATAAAGATGAGAATGATGTGGAGAGAAATGTGATATATAAATTTTTCCCTATAGATTGAGCTTGAAGATACGACATATCTATGATTTTAGTTTCACGAGAGAAGTTTACATAACTGTTCAAACCACTTTTCTAATGAATTATAGGTAATTAGTCATACGGATTTCGAATAACAAAATGTTTTTTGCCACTTGACCTTTCTACAATCACTATGTTTAGATATCTATAAAACACTCTGAAGTTCGCTATTCTTTGAGGTTCGATGACGAAAAAAATCTTTACAAGGACTTTATCTTACTCAAAGTTTTCTTTAGGTTAACTAAGATGTGGGCAAGACCCAATTTTCTATTCCACACAATATTTACACTCACATTCTTTTGTTTTTGAGTGAGAAGTAAAATGAAATCTGAATTAGAAAATTCCAAACTGAATCGTGTAACATGTGGAATAAAGGTAGTAATAGGCGTAGCAGTAAAAATCATGTTGATGTTTGGAATAAAGGTACTTGTTCACTTTCGACACATCCCCTCACCCACACTCTTTGATGTGCGTGTGTTAAATACGCCAATTAGTGTGCGGAGTGTGTTTAAAGTGAACAAGCACCTATTAAAATAGTGTTTTTTTAGTTGAAATTGATTTTTTCAAGACTGAAAATATTGATTTAATAGAAAATTTATTAAAAAAAACTCGTTCGAATCGTCAGTTTTGATGAAAAATTAACAACATAGGCATATATCAGTTCTTGTCAATATTCTGTTGTGAAAAACATAACGCAATTTGATGAGTACATAATATAATAATATCTTTATATTAATCCTTCCTTTCTATTCTTCTTCTTTTATCATGAATACATATGTTGACATTTCAAAATAAATTATATAGTAATCAATGATAAGACTATTCGCTCATAGGTTTTTGAAAGGCACTATAAATTAATATTTTTTGTTCTCAGAGTATAATGTTCTTTTTTTAAACTTTTTTTTTTTGATCTACGATTATATGATAGTTCGGAGCAATAAACCTTTTATCTCATTCAGAAATGTTCAATTAACCTTATTTTATGTCCTTAAATTGTAATTAAGTTATTATTGTAAAGGTAGTTATATAATATATTTTAGCAAAGATTTTTTCAGGACATTTTTTTAAAAATCTTATTGAAATATAATTTTTATTAGTTTATGAATAACTTTTGTTTTTTTTTCGTAATAATTATTTCATATATTTAGATCACGCAACTAACATCGAAATGAATTCAATTTTTTTCAATACAAAACGTCTATTTGATATTCAAAATACATATATTGAAATAATGTTTAAATATATGATATATCGATTTGGTTATAATGAAGCTTCATTACGTTTTGCTGCTCTTATTAAAAGTTTTCTTGATCAAAGTACGTGTATTTTCCGAGCAGGAGAAATTCAATCACATGATCAATTAATACAAACAATTGTTAAAGATACTGAAGTAGCATTACAATTTCAAAATGAATCAATGGATTAAAATCTTTTGTTGTGTCTCATCAAATATTTTTATGTTTTCTTTTTCTATGTTGGGCAATAATATAACTGCTGCTTTGTTTTGTAATAATTATTCGTGTGCACGTCAAAGAATAGAAATTCATTTTTAATAAACAAAAATACATGATTAACGGATTCTATAACGATATCATGTACAAAAATTAGTTCTAGTATCGTTTTTGAACAATTGAAAAATTATTATCGATCTTTGACTCATTTTAGAATGAGTGGATACTAAATTTTAATGAGATCATCAAGTCTTTTTCAATACTATATAATAAAAATGTTGGAGAATATAGAATAGAGATTTGTATTCACTCACAGACGTTACTATGGAAGCGTCACACATCATAACTTTTCGTTATAATATATGAACTATTTTCTTATTGCATTTCTCGAGAATTATGTAAAATAATGGTGAAGAAATGTGACTCAAAATCGATAGAATAAAACAATCTCCTTGTGGTTAGTAACATCAGCTGCATCGTGTTTCATATTTAATCCCGCTGAAACTGCGCTAACAGTTTTTTCTTTTATAAAAATAGTTTTCTTTTTGATTGTAACATGTTGGAATATTTCTAAACCAACATTAGATTTACTCGTGTTGGGTTTATTCTATTCATATATGGATTTCTATTAGACTTGAAAAAACTACATACATGATTAATAATTCAGCTGTACTTTAAAATCTATTTGAAAAATAAATATTTTTGCTTACTTTTTGTATGCCTATTTGAGATAAAATAGAATTTCTAGATATGAATTAAGCTGAAACTTGGATTCGGAGCTCGAGACGAACGTTTCGAGTGTGATCATTTCTGAACATTGTTGACTGAAAACGATTGTAGTCATGACCGAACGTGACACTTCAGGTTCAGTACATGCGTAGTAATATCAGATGAGATTTGTATCTTATTTGTGCATACAAAAACAAATACAATTTCTATGTAACTGTGACTAAAGGTGTAAACTGATGCATTAATCGGCAGGGATTGGAAATCGACGATGACTCTTTTCAAAATATTTTTAATTTCGTGAGATTTCGAAATAGGGTCAACGTTAGTAAAATACGCTCTGGCCTACTCCGATCATGACACTGCGCTAAATCATATTCTTTACCGACTCATCAAAAATTATGTGGATGGATTCATTGTAGGTTAATTCAAGCCACTCTAACTCAGACTTGAAGTGACCCTATCGAACTAATATTTAATTCTTTTATTAATAAGTTTTTAAATAAAATGTTTTGGCATGGGATCTTGTGATGGTAGAATTTAAAAATCTATCAATTAATTATCTCTTAAAGGTGGTTAATAGCGGTAAGAATGGATTGAAGTTGGATGAAGTGTATGTTACTAATATTCAAACGAAATAGACAGCGAATAATCGTAAACAACTGGCTCATAGGAAACCAGACAATTCATGGAAAAAAAGAACAATTATGATTTCAAATAGGTGATTCGATTTATAATCGAATTGAATCATGATGACTGTAAAACAGGTTTCTCTCATGTTTTAATGTATAAACTAAGATTTTTGAATGATTTTCAGACTTCATAATTCAACAAATAGCAGGTGCAACACTACACTAACCATTGATATACATGTTATATATCAAGATATTCTATCATTGAATTTAGTCACTTATAAAACATTGTCGGGAACATGAGTTAAAATTAATTATCTTTTACTATTGTGCGGATATAAAATTTTATATTCAGCTTGAAAGACAAATTTTATTTGATTTTAATCAATCTTAAACGTGAAAAATCGATTTTAAATCTCGAAAATTGAGTATATGTTTCTGTATCATGACAATGGGGGCTGAAAATCTTTAACCTTTTTTTTTCTGGCTTCAATGTCAACGATAGGTAATCTGAATGGCCTATTTCTCTATTTGTCATATGCACTGCGAGATAAAAAATGTAGTTTTTTAAATACCCAATTTAGCAATATCATTAATAGAAAAGTATCTCATTATAATATGTGTTTTATTTTTGACATGTTTAAGTAAGCCATCTCAAAATAATAGATAATTATTTTATTTTCTATTTAGAAAATAGATTAATTAATTTTTCATTTTAATTGATGTTGAAATTAAACAGAGTGCATTTGTATATAATCAAAACATTTTAGATAATTGCTTTCTATGTCATGATATAGTTCAGTAGAGATCGAGCTTTCACATTTAATTCAATACTTCTGACCTACAGTTTGTAATGGGTTTACGATTAAATTCTCTTGCCTTTGTTCGTTTGTTTAAGTTGATGTATTTCTTCAAAGACATTAAAAGCTGTTTTTGTATACATTAGTCAACTTATTTCATGATTAAACAATTTTCATTTGTTTTTTTAAAAGGATTTGAACGAGTTCATTATTCTCCAAACCAAGAAAAACTCAAAATGATGTTAAAAGCATACATTGAATCATTTTTATATATTTTAAAGAATTGTTACAACTTCATTTTATTATAGCTTTTCTAAGGAAACAACAACATGACTATTCTCCCATCTCCGACACTCATCCAGCGAACTTTGGATCTCGTTTCTATTACGGCTAATCTTTTAACGTTATTGGTTTCTTTATGTCTTCTATATGCTGTTATATGTCAATTCATTCGTTCGAATTCTTTTCGTCGTAAACAAATGTTAAAGAATATGTCTATACGTCTTTCTGTGAATACACATTGTTTACTTATTATAAGAAGTATTTTACAATTTCTTGATGTTGATTTAAATATAATAAAAAGAAATTATTTATCAATTCGAGAATTTAACGATTCATTTATGTGTCGATTTCGTGGTTATTTACTTCTATCCATGCATACTAGTTTATATTGGAGTTATACAATTCAAGCTGTATTTCGTTTTATAAGAGTTATTTTTCCTAATTATATTTCTTTATGTCAATCAACTATTAATTTTTGTTTATTTATTTCTGTTCAAGTCTTTTTTGGATTTATCTCTATGTTTCCAATGTTTATTGGTTTTAATGCTATTTATTTACTGCCTAATGAACCTTATTGTACAGCATCATATAATGAATTAGTTTCATTAATTTATATGCCTATATTTGCGTTTATTTTACCATTATGTACTATTGTTGTATGTTATTTATGTATTGTTTGGAAAATACGTCATATAACAACAATAATACATCCTTATCAACAAAGAAATCGTCGTGATTTTCTTATTATTCATCGTATGATATTAATTATAATAGTTATAAGTATGGTATCACTTCCATTACTTATTGATTTATTTATTCATTTACCAAAAGGTTATCGAGATCCATATATGAATTCAATTGGGTGGGTTTCATCGAGTATTAATGCTATTATACTTGTCATTAGTTTACCATTTATTAATCCAAAAGTGTATCAATTATTCAAAAGAAAAATGAATATTGTTCATGTTCAAAGATGCTTCAACAATTAACAAAAATCGAATGTTGTTGAAAATTCTGAATACTTTGTTGTTGTATTTATTTATTTTGTCAATCTTTGTTTGCCTTATTTAAGTTCCAATGTATTTCAAATTTTTATTATTTTATTTTTTGTGAATGATAGATAGACTTTTGTACATACAAAGCGAATGGATTATTAATGGATGATTTATTAAACAATTGAGTTATCTGAAAGATTACTTCGTAATACCAAAGAATCATACTTTTAATCAAAAACTGAATTAAGTAGGCATGTATAATGGACGTTCAGGAAAAGGCGGTGGCGTTTAGCTAAAATCGGACATTTTCTGAAAGGAGGCAGCCAAAGGCGTATTGTAATTTTCTGGTGTTTTTCAAGCATTATTCACGAAACTTTCAAATTAAGCCTACCATGAGTAACATCTTTAATATAGCACTTCGTCAGAATTCTCTCAGGTATCATGTACGATGAAATCACTTATGATAAAGATATGTCTATTGACTAGATGACAGCAGAGAGAAAACAGTTCGCAGAGTACTGTTAGTAAAACCAAGTGGAACAATTTCCGCTAAAGGAGAATCCAGTTTGTTTCATACTATGGGACAATATTCAAGAACCTAATGCCATGCATTTTTTAAACTCTTATATCATAATGTGTTGTACACTGGTAATTTTTTATTTTTAACAAAAATCTTGAGATTTAAACAAAAGTGATTTAAGGAAATTCTTAACAGTTAATTATCGTTTTTCACATTTTTATTGCTTGTGAACGGAATCGAGTTTTTAAAAAGCATGAATTTCAGATTTGTACTCATCGCATGCTCATGATCTCGATAAACTTTCTCTCGTTTTTGAAATGATGTTTAGGAGTAGAGAACGAGTAGTTTGCTTGAGCTGTGTTTAATACACCGAGAGCAAGAAGAAAAATTTATCATGGTAATTAAGCGAGTGAAAAGCAATAAGTCGGCTACTACACATTTTGTGCAGTCAGCTGCCTTTCAGTCAATGGAACAATCCAAAAAAAATTCAGGATCGAGATGATTAAAATATTTGTTCCACAGAAGTTCAAAAATTAGCCTCAACTTTAGTGTTGTAAATTTCTGTACAGAACAGAGACTGAAACCGAACTGTATTATTTGACAATTTGATTCGACTCATCAGCAATTCCTTCATTATTAGTCTATAGATACATTTTACTTATAACAATGAAGGAATCCTCTTTTTTTCGATATGAACTGAATCGAGATTTCCTTAGTCGTTTCGATCTCTGTTATACAATCAATTAACTTTTGATTGCTGGTGTTTCTATAACGTCTATCATTCTTCAATTACTATATTCTTTGCCATCAATCACTGATTAATCATTACTATCGTATCAGTGTTATTGAACGTTAGTTTTTTCCGCTTCCTTTTGATCCTGTGTTTATCAAGCTGTGCATATCACACAATTGAAATCTCACAATAAGGCCAACGCTCACATCCATACACTCTCGGCATTAGTAAAATACGCTCTGGTTGATAGCAAGCAGGATTGCACTATGTCGTTTTCTTTAATAACTCATCAAAGATTATGTTAATGAATCTATTGTAGGTTACTTCAAGCCAAATAAAGAACAATTATGGTTTCAATTAGGTGATTCGATTTATAATCGAATTGAATCACGATAGCTGTAAAAAAACAAAGGTTTTTCTCGTGTTTTAATGTAGAAACTAAGACTTTGGACTGATTTTCGGACTCCACAATTCAACAAATAGTAGATGCAGCATTAGACTAACCTTTGATGTACATGGCATATCTCAAAATATTCTATCATTGGATCAAGTTACTTGTAACACATTGCCAACAATATAAGTTAAATCAATTATCTTTTCTTATTGAGCAGATAAAAATTTGATATTCAGCTTGAAAGACCGATATCATGTGACCTTAATCAATTTTTAACTTATGAAATCGATTATAATCAAACTTTTTTCGTATTTTTTTACATGTGGTTTGTATCGCCGAAAATTAAGTATCTGTTTTTGCGTTATGGTGACGAGTGGTAAAAATCTTCAACTATTTTCTGGTTTTGACGGCAGCGGTCGCTATAAGCTAAACAACTTATAGCTCTATTTGTCGCATTCACAATAACATGAAAAAAACGTACTTTTTCATCTACGCCATTTATCACTATCATAAAATAGAAAAGTATTTCATTGTAATATCTGTCTTTTTTAGATGTTTAAGTGTCCCATCAAAAAAACAATTGATAGTTATTTTTAGTTTCTATTCTTTAGAAAATAAATGAATTCCTTTTTTTTGTTCTAATTGATATTAAAAGTAAAAATGAGTCGAATCTTATAAAATCACAACATTTTGAATAATTTCTTTGTGTTCTGACATAACTGAATTGAGATCGAAATTTTACATAAACTTCAATGCTTCTTTCATACAGCTTATAATATGTTTTGTGACTAAGTCATTTTAATGTCCATTCGTTTGTTTAAGTGAGTATATTTCTTTAGAGGCGTAGTTGCCTTCTATAAATTAGAAGTTATTTCCATATACATGAATAAAAACATTGCATGATCAAACACTTTCATTGTTTTCAAAAATATGAATGAGTTAACTTTTCTTCAAATAAAAGAAAAACACAAGATGACGTTAAAAGTATTGCATTGAATTACATTCAAATATTTTAAAGTATTCTTACAACTTCATTTTATTGTAGTTTTTCTAAAGAAACAACAACATGACTATTCTTCCACCTCCAACATTTATACAACAAATTTTGGAATTCGTTTCCACTATAGCTAATCTGTTTACTCTATTAATTTCTTTATGTCTTTTATGTGTTGTTATTTATCAATTTATTCGCTCGAATACTTTTCATCGCCGACAAATCTTAAATGATATGTCGATACGTCTGTCTATGAATACGCATTGTTTACTTATTATAAGAAGTATTTTACAATTTCTTGATGTTGATTTAAATACAATAAAACGAAATTATTTATCAATTCGAGAATTTAACGATTCATTTATGTGTCGATTTCGTGGTTATTTACTTCTATCCATACATACTAGTTTATATTGGAGTTATACAATTCAAGCTGTATTTCGTTTTATAAGAGTTATTTTTCCTAATTATATTTCTTTATGTCAATCAACTATTAATTTTTGTTTATTTATTTCTATTCAATTCCTTTTTGAATGTATCTGCATGTTTCCAATGTTTATTGGTTTTAATGCTATTTATTTACTGTCTAATGAACCTTATTGTACAGCATCATATAATGAATTAGTTTCATTAATTTATATGCCTATATTTGCGTTTATTTTACCATTATGTACTATTGTTGTATGTTATTTATGTATTGTTTGGAAAATACGTCATATAANGTCCGGCCAATAATGACAATTTTTTCGATAACTCAGCCATTTCTTGACGGATCCTTCTCATCTTCGAACTCGACCGAGACATTGTTAAAACTGAGCTATGTAGAAAATTTCATCGCGATCGAACTCTCCTTTCAAAAGTTATCGTGTAAACGGCCGGACGGACACACTGACCGATTCTAGAGTGTACTCACTTTTTGAGTACACAAAAAGAAGTACTTCTCATTTACTTAGAGTTTATTCAATTGACAACTTGACAATATTTCAAATTGTTTGACGCGAATTACTTCAGTAAGTATTATCACTATTAGAATAACGAAACTTTATGAACTGTCAAATCAAATTCAGAGTCAATTTCATTTTCAATTGAAGATTTTTTTTTCAAATTAAATTATTACCGATATAATTTTGAGAGGAAGTCTTTGCTTCATACATAGATAGTATTTCGAATTCTAAGCTATGCTTGTTTCACATAGATTACTTATTTGAACATATCAACATAGAATAAACTTTTCAAATTCTATTATTGAAGGGTTCTTTTTGTAGTTTAAAATTCTTCATGAGAATGAATATCTAAAGAAAGTCTAACGAATACATACTTTCAATGTATCCTTATTGAAAAAAGAAAACATAAATGAAAATCTTCATGAAAAAGATCAGTTTGAAAAGTATTTTAGAGATTTTAATAGTTTACATTTTGATTTACTAAGCTGAACCCTAGAATATGTATTGAATGAAGGGTACCCAAAAAAGTACCCTGATACCAGTATGTCACAGGAACTTTTGGATACCAACGTACTTACAGGTATCTCAGTGGTACTTTGGCAAGTATCCTGCTGGAAAATGCACAGTAATTGGGTACCTGAGAGTACTGACCAAGTGCTGAATTGTGTACCATTGTATAGTACTTCTAAGTACCCTATTACCAAATTTTCAGTATGTTCAGGATCAAACCTGATCTTTGACTCTTTCAAAGTTTTTTCTTTTTCTTGAGATAATTTAATAGATATTTTTTTACTTTATTCAACTTAATTTTTTCGATTCCAAAAACTTATCAGGTACAATGTCAGGATCCGACTCAACTTGAGTTGGTCGTAGATCACTTCAGGGTAGTTCGATCTTAATTTATAATCAAGCTCGGCATTTCCTCGACTAAGAAATAATTTAGAAAAAAATAGTATGAAAATTGATTATTTTCTTATGATTTATTGAGTTGTTTATATAGAGCCATGCGTAAAAAAGAAAACGGTGAACGAATAGTCGTCACACAGAAAGCGACAAATTTTGGATACCCTATGGATCTTTCCTCAGTAAAATTACAGATTTGTATATTCATGCAGGTACTTATTCAGTGAATGTACTTTTACAGGTACCGCAAACAGTACAGACATCGATAAAATTACTGAGAATTTTCAAAGTACTCATAATGGGTACCCTGCTAGAATTTTCTCAGTACATGGGTACCCTGAACTCAGTACTATCTCTAGGGAAGCTACAAAAAAAACATAAGAATCATTGCCTAGTGGAACTATTCATGATGAATTTTAAGTAAAATGTCGTTTTTCTTTTAAATTCTATCTCTATTGACGTTAACACCAGTACGCATTTGGAAATAATAACTTCAAGAAAAAAAAATGCTAACATACCTAATGTTTGCTGTTCATCATTGTTATTTCTTAATCGAATTCCTAGTTTTTCTAAGGGCTTTCTAATTTCACAATGAAAATGTTCAATTTCTTTTGCAATAAAATTGACCAGTGCCATTTCATCAAAAATTGAGCCATCTAGCCAATTGTTGACAAGTTCTTTCATGTTAATTTTAGCACTTGTATGAGCTTGTTGACAAAAAACGTCTGTTAATTGTTCTATAATTTTCTGATCAACTGCTTGCAGTTGTCTACGAATTTCCATCCGAAGTGCATTAGCTTCTGCATATGGAACATTGAATGACGAAATATGATTTTCTAACAATAATTTTTTATAGTACATCTCCACAGAAAAATCGTTTGCATGTGGATATTCATGTAATTGACTTCTTGTAAAGCGAATGAAATCTCTTATAGACTCATGAGGAGCTTCGGAGAGCTTTTGATAATGAGCCCGAGCAAATTTACAAAGTGCACTTAATTTGAGTAATTCTTTCAAACGAAGAAGCTCAGGAAAATAATTACCAATTTCATCATAATGATCGGTAAATGCTTTTGCAAACATACTTTCAGGTGAACTTTTTTCATATTCATCTTCATTTTCATCATCAACTAATTGTCCTTCATGATTTCGTCTCAGTAAATGTTTACGTACTCGTAATCGTACATCTCCAACTAGAAATAAGGTACTTGTTTCTCGTTGTACTATTTCATAGTTAAGTTTATCTGGTTCAATCCAAAAACGATGTGCTTGACCAAATGCAATGTTTCGTTCATATTCATTTATTGGCTTTAATTTCTCTTGTAAATATTTTGGAAGTCGTTGAAAAAAACCTTTATTAATCGGTTGTATATCGAATGGAGGTTTAGCACATATTTCTGCTCCTGTTGTAAACATTTTTAATAAATAATCCGTATGAAATAAAGTTGCTAAATATTGCGTATAGACTAGAGAGGACGGGTGATATCTCATTTGTTGAAACGGATGTGAATGGAATTCATTATCTGGTTGATCAAGTGTGAATATGCCATATTCTAAATTATTTTTGAAAACTTCAATAACATCATTTGTATTAAATAGTGCAATGCTTTTTTTCTCTGTAGATTCATCAGCAGGTTGAAAATGAAATTTCACACGACCAGTTTCTTTATGAAATTCAATACCATCGACATGAGAAAATTTTTTTCCACTAAGAAATGCTAATGGTCGAAAATCATTACAGAGCCATCCATCTTTTGTACGTGCGATCATTGGAATATCGAGTAGTAATTGAACATCGAACATATCCCAAGTTTTAGTTGACAAAAGTGATTTCATACATGCACGACGAATTACACTAAAGTCTTTATTACGTGCCCAACCTTTCCAAATACCTTCAAATAAATAATATTCGTATAAATATCGTTGTGTTGTATTCGATTCGATCATATTTTCAAGAAAACATACAAGAAAATCTCCACCAACTAATTCACGATATAAAATATCATAACTCATTGATACAGGTATTTGGATTAACGGTGATACTTTACTTAGATTGATTGTCGAGATTAATAATCTGTTGATTATTTCAGTTTGTTCTTCTGATAGAATCAATTGTAAGTTTTTTCGAAATATTTGATTTGCTTTACAGAGAGAATTGATTGATAATCGAAAAATTTGAGCTGTTTGTATAAGAACAGGAAGGATTAATCGGAAGACATAGATTTGCATATGTGGTGATAAGTATGTCGATGAAAATAAGTATATTTGACAGGCAAGTTCATTAATTAGATTTCGATATGCATAGACTTCTGCTTTATTATCCATAATAAAATGAGATTTCATTAATAATTTAAAAAAATATAAGCAAGCCAAAGTCCAATTGGATACAATACATGTAGCATCATGCACAGCTTGACACATGTCAATATAAGAAAAAGCCGATTGCAATGGATCATTTTTTAAATATTTTAAAATTCCTCGTTCATATTTTCTTATGAGTAACAGATTTGTATTTATTGAAAGAAAATTCTCATTTACAAATGACATAGATGGTTGAGAAACAGTTGTCACATCATTTAATGATAATAGTTCGACATCACTTAATAAATCTTTCAAGATCGCTTGACGAAAACTTAAATCGTTCATAATCATGGTCACTGCTTTTATTATTTCATTTGATGGAAATACAACAATTGCTTCATTTAATTTACTAGTAGCTTCCAAATAATGATTTTCAAGTTTGGATATCATGCATTCGAAGATATACATTTTAGCTCGATATTCATTTAGTGTACATGATATATCTCGATTAGCAAAGTATTCGAGATGAATTTTTTTAAGAATATCAGCATTTCTTACATCAAGTAAACATTTTGTTAATGTTATAATATCATTACAAATAGCTTTTTTAATTTCTTGTTGATTTTGAATAGATAATTGTTTTCGATAGGAAAACATTAAACTTTTCATTTTCTCTGACATTAATTGTGTTGTTGGAGTTATATTGTTGATTGTATGATGAATATCATTAATTAAAATAAAATTATGATCACAATTTTCATACAATTCTTCCAATAAATTAATATAAATATCAACAAGACTTTCGACAGTATTTTGAAAATTTAAGATAATCGAAGCAGATAAATTAATTAGGGATTTTCCATGTTTTCGAAATGAATCAACAATGAATGTGAGAATTTTCACGGCATATTTTTCATTCGATTGTAAAAGTTTGTAAGCACTGATATAACATCTCAGAGCTTGAGACGACGACAGATGAGATGTAACAGATGTCAAAATCGTTTCAACAGTTTCTAAATTCGACGAATAAGAAAAGGCTAGGTAATAATAATTCATAGATATTTTAAAATGTTGTGATTTTGCATAACTTTCAGCCAGTTCTTTATAACTATGAATGCTTATTAGATGCTTAAGTAAATAGAAAATCGATTGATTTGTTTCTAGACTATTATGAATCCAATCGAAGTTTATATCTGATTTTGATTGAAGTAAAGTAAGAATTTTAGTGCAGAAAAATACTTCCTGGAATTGTGCTTTAGAAAAATAAATTTCTCGCAAGTTCTCCCAATTAGGTTCATGTAATGCATGTACAAATGTTAAACCAAATAGAATCTCTGGGGAATTTAAATGTTGCGTAAAACGTTCGATCGATTGTTCAACACATTCGAATTTGCCTGTAACAAATAAATCATAGACATATTTTATGAAATAATTCTGACATTGATCATGTAATACGATTTGTTTGAAGAATTTTAAATCTAGTTGACATAAAATTGATACCAAAGTCATGTACTGTTGACGATTAAAAATATCATTTAAAATAATATACCAATCTTGAATAGATAAATCAATTAATCGAAGAGTATCAATAACTAAAGATTGATAATGTTCATCATGTATAAGATCAATCAACCATTTAATCCATTGATTAAACAGTTGTAAGGTTTCTTTTTGAAGTTTAACATAGAAAATGAATAATCTACGATCATTTTCATTGATTTTTTTCTTACTAATTGATTTTTTCCAAATGTCTTCCAGACTTAGTTTCGCTTGTTCATATGCAAGAAGAGCTAAAATACCTTTACCTGTTGCATAATAATCATCACCGATTTTTTCCCATTTATTAGAAACATACTTAAAAGATTTGCTAATAGTGTCATAGCAAATTCGTATGTATTCATAGGCTAAAGAGGAATAAAACTTTTCAGCAAGATTAAACCACAATTGAAAATTTTGCTTTGAAATATATTGAGTACATTGAATAGCATTGATATATTGTTTCTTCTTCAGATAATAAAAAGTCGCTTGCTCATATAAATAATCATCATCAATATTCGACGAACGATACCAGTGAAGTAAATGAATATACGTAATAAGGTGTTCAGTATCAATATTCTCTTTTAATAGCTGTTGTATATGTTCGAAAATAGTATTGATCAAAATTGATTTAATTTTTGTAGAACATGAATGACAGATACGTACTGGAGTTGTATGTCCTAGATGGCGACATGTTTGCCAAATTAAGCAATCATCACAATAAATTTTGCCACACATACGACATGAATATCGCCATCGAAACAAATTGAAGTCTTTCCAGCACGACAAACATTTCGATGACTTATGATTATCAAATCTCGGTTCTTCTACGAAATATGTTAATTGACTAAGTACATTGTGTTTTTTCGAATTATTTACTATAGAAATTTTTTGTCCTACTGAATAGTTTGTTTTATTTGAGTCACTACCACTTTTATATGTTCGAAGTTCAGCATCAATTAGTGATGTATATGAACTAAGATCTGGAATCTTAATGACTGAATGGAAATGATGAGTCAATTTGAAAATGATTTCGATTTCAGCGTACTGTGCTTGATTTGAAATATGCGCTGATGAAAGTATTAGAATATTCTTCAAAAAATCAGCAACAGGTAAAAGTTTTTGAACAAATTTTTCGAATGAAGACCAACTTGAATTTATCCAAATCTCTTCAAGTTTTGACGGCATCGACTTGATAGGTGCCCATGACCAATCATCAGGTGCCATTAATGACAAAATATTGTTCAAAGATTTTGACTGAGTGATACTTTTAAGATGTGTCGAACAATCAAGTTGTACAGTTTGCATATGTTCAGAAATATTATTGCAATATTGATCACATACAAAACATATTGCTCTAGTATTTTTTACATTTAATTCTTCTTGATATTGATCTAAAATGTTTTTTCTTATTGTATCTATTTCATTGTCAAAATTATCAGAAAATTCACATTCGGGAAATTCATTGATCCATTCTTTGATTTTTCTTTCATAGGATTGAGAAAGCCTCTTACTAGCCGGTAACCGTGGAATACTCTGATTAACTGTATCATCACGAACTTCATCACCTTTTACATTGTAAGCTTGTCTAGTTGAATCATTTGATAATATTTGATAAGCTTTGACAAGCTCTCTAAATCTTTCATCGGCATGGATATCATTACGATTTTTATCGGGATGTATTCTGAGTGCTTCGCGGTGGAAGCCTTTGCGTATATCAGCATTCGAAGCGTTTTCATCAACCCCAAGTAGCTTGTAGTAATTAGATTCGAAATTCATATTAAAATGTTGACTTCACAAAAAGAAGCCATTACTTACATACACTATATTTAAAGAATTTTCCAGCAACAATGTCAATAGACATGATGTAATTTTTTGTTTATCAAACTGTCTTCGAAGTACATGTCTATTAATCATCCATGAGTCTGATAAAGGAACACATCTATGACCTGAAAATGACTATTTATTATTCAAAGGTAGGTAGGAAGCGCAGGTGATTCGCAGATAGCAACAAGCTTTCGAAATGTTTGCAATGACGCCGACAGAAAGATAAGAAGGGTGTGGGTTTGGGTGTCAGATCTTAATATGTTTATCCACACCCACACCCATCATCACCCACACGCCACATCCCACCCTGAAATGTGTAAATGGTATGGTCCTACAACCGTGGTTTGACTTTACATATACGTGAATCGCCGAGCAAGGACGAATGCATGACGAAAAAAGTATATTTTTCATAAATTGAAAGAGCCAGATGTCTTTTTTCTCTCAGGGAGGTACCCCGTGCATGTGTTTTTTTATTTCGGCGAAGCCTCGAGTCGTTTCGTCGAAGTCATCGAGCTTTGGCGTTCTCCTTGCTGGGCGATTCACGTTTATATAAAGTCGAAGCACGATTGTAGGACCATAATATTTACAGATTTCAGTGTATTTATCTACCGCTCTTTTCTCAATACTTGAACAGCAATAAAGCAGAATGCAAAAGATCGGCCAATTGATTTGTTTCATCGGCTTCTTGATGTTGGTGGCTACTAGCTGCATGGCAGAGCCCGTACTGAATCACACTGGGGCCGTTGACACTTTCCATGATTTAATCATCAAGCCTCGTAGTTGTGGTGATTGCCTTGCTAGTTGTGGTTGTAATATTCGTTGTACTACTCCTTGTGTTACTTATTGTGCTGCATGTTGTTGTCAGTAAGGCAGGTATGTTTTGTCAATATATTGTTTCGATGATAACTTATCAAGAGAATGTCGCTGAAGTTTTACTTGATTATTAGTACATTCTTCTTTGGGATTATCATTTCGAGTACTTTTTGGTACTGAATTAAGATACAGAACTAATTCAGAATTTTTTCTTTGTAGGAAACATGGCACACTCACAGACCTGCATCGAAAATTCAATATTCCCATAATGTTATCACGATCATTGCACATCATCGACTAGTTAGTTTTCTTTTTCCCATATTGTCACCTAGTTGGCTGTCTGCTGTCATATTCTCAACTATTTTCCTCCTTATTTTTTCGGTACATGTCCTGATTTTCAGTTCAAATAAAATATACGCACCAAATATGCACTTTGGTTGGTTTCTTGAGAACAGCACCAAATACCCACAATAATCGTGAACAACATACATTTTCCTTCAGAAGCGCAGCATCATGCATACCATTTACTATAAGTTTCATTGAGGATGAAGGTCTGAGCTTTAGAAGATACTTTTGATAAAACCAGAAAAATCCATGAACTACTACTACGATTAATTTCATCTTTGTTCTAGCATCTCATCAGCAGAGTTGCCAGATCGAAAAGTGAGAAGGGTGTGGGTGTGTGGGTGTCGGTGTGGGTGTGGGCGCGAGTGTGTGGGTGTGGATGGGAGTGGGTTTGGGTGTGGGTGTGGATCTGTTTTCGTAGACAGTCTGATACCCACATCCACACCCCCACCCCCACCCCCACACCCTCACCCCACACCCACACCCACACACACCCACACCCTCACCCCACACCCACACCCACACCCTTTGGCGAAATTTACGGAAAACTATTATTTACAGAGTCTTTGTTGGTTTATGCATTGACTAGCACCAGAGCCAGCATTGTTCTATTCGAGTTAACCAACAAACAAGCAGCTTGCGATTAGTAGCTTATCTCATTGTTTTTAGGAAACAATATTCTCCAATAACAGACGCAAAATTTTCTGGTCATTTTAATAGAAGCAGCTCAATGTAGAAGAAGCGAAAAGGAGATTCTTCATAGATAACCCGTTCATCCATCTCTGGTATTGTAAATTATTCTTTCGGTCTTATTAGAAAGGGATACAATATGTTTCTCACTTCAAGATGCTAGGCAACATTCAAGGCACTTATTTAGTACTCATGTTTGTAATCCTCTATCACATGCACATACAACAATTCTATATTTCATGCTTCTCATTTGCTTAAAACCAGTTTTCTCCTCCACATTTTCAGTTAAGGAATCAGTCAATGCTAAAAACAGAAATAAACAAATTAAATATCTCGCGCTATTGATGCGAAGCAATGAGCCAGTCAACTATACCACGTGAAACAACATTGTAATCGATCATCTAGGAAATATCTTCCCCAATGACCATTATAATGAGTCTGCATTCATCGAAAAGACTTGTAAGATGCTTTGCACAATGCTATAGCCTGACTATGTCAGTAGATGCTCGATTCCATTCCACTAGATAGAATTTAAACCTATGTTGATACATTTCTCGAGACTAGCGAATACTTAAGCTGGGCACGAGTCATTCAAGTATTTTCTTCTAAAATGGTCTTCATGCCACATGTTGTGATACAAACTTACTAATCAATCCTTTTCGAATTCACTGTCTTGCTAAAAGTCACTATCAACGTGCGTCGAATGACTGCTACACAAAACATTAACATTACAGTGTAAAGAGAACGAAATCGAAGCTCATTGTGTCAATAATGGTTTCAAACTGAGTAATACTTTGCAAGATAAATTGACGATGTTTCCCTCTTCACATTAGTTGAAAGCGAGAAATGAAAATGAATTGAGAGTGTTGGTGCGGGTAAAGCTGAAGCTGTATGTATGAGTCTATGAATGTGCTGCTGTTGTGTGTAGATATGCGTGAGTTTTAATGTGGTTGTTGTGCTCGATTTAAAAAAAGACTCTCACAGACACCTACCTAAGACTATATCTCATACTAGTACATCCACATCCACACCATTTTTTTTTCTTAATTACCTGACGAATAGTGGTACAAACAATAATGACCGCCGTATAATTTCCTGCTTTTAAATATCACGATAGCTCATGAATATGTCCACTAGGTGTCGACCAAATAAATCAACGTTTTCAACAGTCATAGAAACTTTTTTAACGATTTTCATAAGAGAAAAATTAATAAATGGTATTACAAGCCAGCAATATCTATCTCAAGAAAGATTTACCAGCTGCTATGAGCTGTAAAAATGTAGTATGATGGCCCAAATTCATCTTTAAGAGATTGGTGTCAATATAGAAAAGGCCAGAATCCACATCCATATTTTATTCTGAATCTCATTTTTAGTGAATAAATGCATTTTAATCACATTGGGTTCTTCTTATTTGCATGTAAGCGATCATGAGTAGAAGAAGAAAAAGTATGTAATGGGTATTCTAAAGCAATTTGTAGTATTTTTTAGGTTGTAACACGTGGCAAATAGTTGTTGAGCGCGATGCTACTAACTCGAAACACTATATTTTAATGTTTCTCTCACAAAAAAGACTGAATAAGTCTCTACTATTGACAAAAATTTAGTCTCACTCGATCAACACCTAGTGAAGATATTTAAACTTCTTATCATCTATGTATGTATCGGCCGCCCTGTAGTTTTATTTTTCAGTTCTCTTTATTGCACTAAAAAAAAAGAAATTAAAAGAAAAAAAAATGTATTAGTAATGATTTTTGCATCTACCATAGACGACATTGTCTTCATAACAGCTCCACTTTAAACAACATAACTTTTCCAAACGGTATTGCAAAACTACGTCGCTATGTTGTGAAACACGATCTAAACGGAGTTTTGAATTGTACTAGGATAGAAATTTATATTCCATTCCTACAGGCTATGATAGACGGGACCAGCAAACCGTCAGAGACATAGCAGATGTCTCTAGCAACACTCCAACATTATAGGCTGTAACAGATATTTTTCGGATAAATGATAATGTACGAGAAAGGTCTACATTCAGCAACACTTTTCAGTTCTGGAATGTGTCTTTTTTTTGTATCTGCGTAATGTTGCAATGCTTTATCTCTTGACTTACGAACCTGTTGCATATAATGAGAGCTACGTAATAATATGTTTATTATATTTATTCCTTGTGTAACACGCGTTAAAGATATAAATATTAGCATCATTTAACGAATAAACAACTTTGCCCGAAAAGCAATGAACTTGTTTTTGACGATTCAAAAAAAGCTGTATGATTATCTTTCATACCTTCTGCATGTGAGCATATCATACACATGAAAACTTTCATATGTAAGCGTATCATGTTGTTGATCAGATTCGAATATATTTACATTGTTTTGTAAGATACCACTCTGCACTGCGCAACAAGCAACTTAAAGAATGACGTAGACTAAATCATAATACTTCGAACAGAAAACCAAATTATTATGTGCAGCATCGAGTACACATAATATAAGATAGTAAACACATGCATATTGTTGCTGAATTCTTTCAGAAAAGTCTTTCATAAATACACTATTTTCTATTGATATGCAGAATTCAGCGAAACTCTAGTCACATTGCATGTGAGTATCTCAACCAATCAAAATTTGAGCATGACTGCTCATGCTTTACTTCAAAACGTTTAACTAAATTGTCATCTTTTTGCATGTACTATTGTTATCATATAATATGCAGCTATATGAAAAATAGTTTACAGACAAACGCGACTCTTTCATTATTTCTTGTAAATACCCAAAATTGTAAGTGACACAAAAGTAAGAAAAAAATGCTCAAAAGAAAGTTGAGCTTCAGGAAAAGAGACATTTTTTTTATGTAACTTTTTAACTAATTGAATCTAACTCTCACATAAATAATAGTGCTCTATGAACTATACTTTTTTCTTCTTACATATTCAAGATCTGTATATCATAAGTGTAGATTAAATAAACTACTACGCAGTTTCTATAATGGCGGAAACAACATCTCAAAATCAATCAAATAAATGCAAACGGTTGTACTTTTCTTTGACCAATATCAATCTATTTGGCGATCAAGATGCAATATCTCTGGTTGATCAATTACTTGCTACAAGAATTTTTCTCTTTTTATTAGTCATTAGTCTCAGTATTGTTATTGTTTTCTCTACTGTCACTGTTCAAACACAAACTGTCACTATTGAATCACCAACAGAAATTACTTTTCAACAACTTTCTGTTCAATATTCATCTACACTTTCATGTTCATGTACACAAATTTCAATTCGTCATAATCAATTTGTTTTATTGAATCCACGTTATCATTCAATATGTACAAGTCAATTTGTTAATCAAACATTTATTTCATCATTAAATGATTACAAAATGAGTGATTATTATCCATTAGACTATCGTATTATGGCAGCATCGCATTTTCAAGTAATTGCTCTACTTTGTCAAACAATAACACAAATGGTATCAGATGTATTAGAAGAATTTGCTACTAGATACATTATCACTAATAAAGTTTTATCACATAGTATATTCAATGCTCAAGTAAAAGCACTTGTCGAACAATTAAAATCAATAACTATAGCTAATGTCAAAAGTATAAATGATTTTCTTTGGTTTAATATTTTTCAAAATCAAATTCAATCAGGATTGCGTACGAATTATTTTATTCAAGCTGTACCTGGAGCTCTCACTAATAAATTTGTTACAGTTAGATATAAAACATTGAATAAAACATGTTCTTGTTCATCAAATAATGTTTGTACACATCAAGTTGGTATTTACAATCAAACAGGACGTGCAGGTGTAAACATTTCGACTAAATTTGGAGATTTAACTACTGATCCACCATTATTATTAACGATACCTGGTATTATGGTTGGTTGTTTACCATATGACTCATTACTTAGATCAACATTTGAGTGTTTCTATAATCAATCATGTATTGATCAAATTCAAATATTCATTAATGGATTAGAATTAATTACACCACTTTCATCATCTCGTTTCGAACACAATACAACAGTGAATAATCTATTTGATCAATTATTTATTGAATTATGGAATCAAACGATTAATTTTACTGGTTATTTTCAAGTTTGTTCTCCTCATTCATGTACATATTCGTATGCTCGACGATTTGATCTACTTTATGTTATTGTTACACTTATTAGTCTGTTTGGTGGACTAAAAACAATTTTATTTTTTTCAACACCTCAAATAGTTAAATTTATACGAAAATTTCGAAAGATTCAAAATGTTCATAATACAAATAATGTCATATCAACGATAAATCCAATAGATATAAATCAAAGTATGTTTCTGTATTGCATGACTATTTTCTTCATTTCTAAATCTTATTTCAAAGGTTTAAAAGATCGTTTAATTTTCAAAATAACTGAAGTTTACGAGAAAATACTTAAATTAAATATGTTTCCATTGTCATCTGATATTACTGATGGAATTTATTCAACACGTATTTATATTTTATTATTCGTTACTGGAATATTCATTTTAGTTTTCTATTCATCTATTATTGTTCGAATTCGAATTCATAGTGTTTATCAACCGTCAATTGATGAATATGAACAATTATATTCACAGTATTCATCAACACTAGTGTGTCCATGTACTCATCTTTCTGTTCCTTATTCATCGATCATACAGATGAAACCTTATTATCATCAAGTATGTTCAAGTGATATCGTCAAAAATAACGGATGGTTACTCTACTTTAATGGATTAGTTGGTGCTTTCTACTCTTTAGATTTTCGTATTCGAGGCTTTAAAATATTCGCTATACTTCAAACATTATGCAGTATGTCAAATGAGACTATAACAAATAAACTTGCTGTCTTCAATGATTTACAATTTGTTAGTGCTCGTGTAGTGACAAAAAATGCATTTAACACACAAATATTTGCACTTATTCAACAATTTAAACAGCAGGTATTTGATAAGCAAAAAAAATTAAATTTATTATCTTAGTTTATTATAAGTTAATAATAATGAATTTAGAATATTAGTACATTGTTGATTCTACATTCGATCGATTGAGGCTAAACTTCAGATAAATATCTGTTATTTCTTATCTCATGTGATTTTCTCTGATTCATTGATAACTTGAACCAAAGAATAAATGTTTGTTGCTCAATAAAATTAAGCATTTTTTTGTGCAAAAAACAATGGCACACACTTCGTAACATTTAAAAAAACTAGAAACAATTGATATTCTTGTCAAAACTGTAAAATATATCCTTATTTGGAGTGCACAAAAGAAAACTTCCATGAATGTGTTATTATATCTTCCTATCCTTCTGCAGTTGTTAGTATTTGGTAAAATAAATTGAAAATTTTACTGAAACAAAAACCTCTTTATATCTAGATACAGTGTAAATTTCAGTGCATTGCCATTTTAAGTTATTGAGTTATGACAATCTGAATAAAAATATATATTTCAATAATATTTTATTTTATTTCTTAGACATAGAAATATGGGATAATTGATCAAATTTCAATAGATAATAAATGTAAATGAATTCTTTTGTTTATATCTCGGGGACACGAAAGCATTAAAAGATTGATGACAGTATTTATTTTCATAAACAGGAGGTTGAAGTGAGTGACTTTTAAAAGGAATGGCACATTTCAGTGCATATATTTCTCATAATTATGATACTAGAGTATGATAGATAGTATTAAGTACTAATGAAATTCAAAGTTAAAGTTGGTCTTTAAATAGTAGTATAGCTGATGATATATGAGGCATAATCATTCTTGGTAAATTTTCAATAGAATATTTTGATAGTACACTGAATAACTCTTTATTTCTATTGTTTTCGATGTTCATATTAATGTTATAAAAAAAAATGGAACCGCAACGAACAACAAACTTTATTAAATGCAAAATCGATTAGAATCGAGTTAAACTCAAGAAAACAGATATGAAACACTCTCAAGTGACTTTAAAAAAATCGAATACATTCAATTTCCATTTCTAGTTAACAGCAATGAGATAGAGCAGTTACAAGAATCTTCAATTAATTTTTTGTGATAGAATAAGAAGCTCCTTCTCTCGGAATTGAATAGTTCAAAAATTTAAAATAATACAATATATGAATGAGTGAAAACGACCACTCTATCTAATTATAAAACATGTGTTATGTTTAATTGAATAGAAACTACGTTAGAAAAACATCGTGGCATAAAACTTGAAGATAGAATCAATTTTTCTTTGCTAAAACTAAACACAATCTAATTAAAATAATAAAGTACTTCATTTTACCTAGACTTTCTGGTTATGATCGATTTATCTTAGTCTTTATTCTTATTAGAATAATGCATGAAATCAATTAGATCTTTAATAGGATTTTAAAATTCGAAATATCAGAGAACGAAACCTACTGTTTAAAAAACTTTCATATGTTAAAATTTAGTTTTGATTAAGAGTTTACCTAAATCCCCGTGCAGAGTACTAATGCTAATAATTTGTTTTGAAGGCGGAGAATAATCAAATTGCATGATATTTTCAATCCTATAAAATGATGTTTTCAAAATATATTCAATAAACTAGAATCAAATATAACTCATTTGGCTACCCTAGGATTCTTAATTTTTAAAAATTAATTGTCTACAATGAAACTCTTTTAAGAATTCCCAGGATGGGCAATCAAAAAATCTTATTTTTCCTGATTTTGATAAAAGTTGAATTTTTTTTCAAGCAAGTTTCTCTCTCTTAATGTTTTTTTTTAATCGACATGTTTTAATTAATTAAGACGCTCGCATCTTTTCTCGATTTATTTCAACTTGTTCTAACTTCAATTCAACTTAATCAATTTATTACTTCTGGTGCCAGTAATGCTCAATTATTGAAAACAATAGCTAATAATAATGATTCATTCCGTTTTATATCAAACAATGATTGGGAAAATGATTGTTCATGTGGTACTAATGTTTCTTGTATACGTTCCGAAGGATTTTATTGTAGAACAACATCTTGTTTTATATCTCCAACTAAACCAAATCAAACGATACCAGGCTTGGTTGCAAGTTGTCTACTTGTTGATTCTCTTCTTGCATCTTCACTTGAATGTTTCTATAATGAATCATGTATTCAAATGCTTATTCAATGGCATTCATTTGGATCCCCCAATGTTACAATAGATCCACGAGTTGCCAATATTACTCCACTTGATGCAACGGTTAATAATCGTTTTTCTCCTAATACTCGACTGGGTATTATTGTTTCACAATTATTTATTGAAGATTGGGCAAATTCTACTAATTTTAGTTACTATTATAATCAATGTGCACCAGATGAATGCACTTATACTTATGAAGAACGTTTTAATAGAGCTTATGTTATTGCAACGATAGTTGGTATAGCCGGTGGTCTTTCTACTGCACTTCGAATATTGATTTTACCTGTTGTGAAATTACTTCGACGAATGTATTATCATTGCCACAGACCTAAGAAACCTGTTGTAAGAGAATGCTTCGCAGAACGAGGTATTCAATTAGTTCTAATTGTTTTTTTTTGTATGACTATTCATCAAATTAATTAATCAAAGAATCATCCGAGGTGATGCCTCCTATTTACGATCGTAACACTACAGTTTTTTGCCTTTGACACGATATTTATGAATAAGAAAGCTGACAAAACGATTTTTGCCCTCAAACTGTATCTATAGATAGTTCTTGAAATCATTAGAATCTTGTAAAATTTTCAGCTAAAAAGAGGAATCTCTTGTCGAAGTAAAAAAGAACTCTGCGTATAAAGAAAACTCCTTCTAGACTTCTTCTAGTTTCAACAATTCCTGTGTAATTACTCAAACCTCAACTCAAATGTGAAGCATCACTTCAGACGGTTATCTCATTAGTTTACTTGTATAATGGTTATAATAAAAAATAAATATTTCCTTTGTTCTTCTTTGTATTTTAAGACAATTCTTATAAAATTACAATATCTCTCAAATATTTTCGACATTTTATTCAAACAATAAACTTATACCATGAAGCAAGAAAAACTCGTTTAACAGAAAATTTACAAACAGCT